CCCTGCAAGATGACAGAGTGGGAGGTTACTGCACGTTTTACCACAGTGAGGTGGAAGCTCCCATCAGAGGGGAAGATTGCCCTGCCAGGGCTCTCAGCAGCACCAGCTGGGCATGGCCTTGGGAGAGGCCAAGGCACCCTCATGGCCCAGCTGGGGCTGTGGCCACCCCTTCCCTGGGTTTGTGCCAGCCTTGTGCTGCTCCTGGGGTCCCTGCAGAGCCCGAGGAGAGGTGAGGGACTGGGGAGGACTCAGGATTTCCCGGGAGAGGAAGGGCTGGGGAGCAGAGATGTGCTGTCCCTGGGCCCACGGCCCAGCTGCTTCCTGCTGCTGCAGCTCCCTGATAAGAGCCCCTGGGCTGTGGCAGGGTCTGCAGGGACCGAGCAGCTCCAGCTGCCTCAGCTGAGCCCCACGGGCAGTGCTGGGAGGGAAAGGCTGTGCTGGGGAGCTCTGTGGCCCTGGCCCTGCCCAGCAGCGTGGCCGGGTTGCAGAGGTGCTGCTGTGTGCCCTGGCAGTGTCACCCTGGCAGTGTCACCATGCTGTGACAGCAGGGGCTCCTCACACCTCCAGGCCCTCCCTCTCCCTGCTGTCTCCAGTCTGGGATCTTCCACCCCTGAGCAAGAGGCAGATTCATGCTCTGAGTCAAGATAATGATTTTATTTCTCATCTGTGCAGAGATGGGTGCTGGGTGGTGAATCAAAGCTGACACAGCCTCAGCATGCTAGGTGCCCATTTTTACACATTTGAAGCAACAGAAATGAGCACTTCCCTACAGCTAACCACAATTAGTGCAGCCATTGGTATTTGCAGTCTCTGTCTCATTTAAAGAGACTCTGCAAACTTCTTTTACTACTCATGCTCTGTGGGGAAGGGGCTTATGTGAGTAAAGGGTGATCCCAGCCTGTGGGCAGGGATTTCCCTATGCTAATGAGCACTGGAAGCACACAAAGTTATTCTTTGGCTTTGTAATTTGATTTATAGTGTCCTCCTGCTCTTTACTTCTCGGGTCATGGCTCTCAGGTACTGCAGGATTGGTTTTTCTCAAGTCTTTCATAAGTTCTTTTGTTTGTCCTGTGCTGCAGTGAATTTTTAACCTTCTCGTGGTGCTTCATTCCAACAAATCCCCTCTCTGACGCTTAGGGAAATGTCCACAGTGCATTTTCCATAAGTCTCACCCTATTTTTGGAAAAACATAGTTGACTCTTACCTGAAAGAACAAAGTAAACACAAACTCTTTCATTTTGTGATATGATGGCGTGTCAGTACTGTGGGCTCGTGGTACTTCAACATTCCCATGGCAGTGTCCTTTGGAGTGGCTCCTGAAGCCCAGAGGCTGCCACCACGCCTGCATTCCCACCTTCACACAACACGCAGCCTTTGGATTCACCTGGGTCCAGTGGGAGGGGTGGCTGAGTGTCCCTGCTCTGGAGATCCCCTGCTGACTGCACAGGGCTGTTCTGAGCACAGGGGTCTCGTCCCCACTTAGGACAGAGAGGCACCAACCAGCTCTGGTTCCCTGGGGACATGTGGCACCGCCAGCGGCTGTGTGCACCCAGAGCTAAACAAAACCTCCAGCTCCAAGCCCAAACACAGGATGAGCAACTCTTCACTTTTCCTGTCCCTTTTTGTACTAAAGAAACAGCCCCAGAGGTTTTGTTGAGGGGTTGTTCCCCCTTGCCCATGCTGGCCCCATGTGCAGCTCTGCAGCTCTGCCAGGTGATGCTGCCCTGGCTGGGCTCTGGCTGTGAGCCACAGGATCACAGGGATCTGTGTGCAAGGACACAGTTTCAGCTGCCTTATCCCAGCTGAGGCAAACGGGGCAGTGCTGGGAAGGAAATGCTGTGCAGAGGAGCCCTCGTTGCCCCTGACCCTCCCCAGCAAGGCCCCAGCAACACCTGGCTCTGTGCTACACCCAGCCCTCAGTTTTCTTCAGGCAGTCCCACCCAAGGGGTGTCTCTGCTAAATTCAGGGTCTCAGGGCTCCGTGGTGTCTCAGCAGGACCTGGAAGGGCCATGGGGGCCTGGGCTCAGGAGCAGCTGCTCTCATGTGGCTCCCCTCAGGTCCTTGGGCACATCAGCCCCAGCCCTGTTTGGCTTCAAGGCTGTGCTCTGCTGAGAGTGAAATGTGCTGATTGCTCCTGACTGAGAAAGGGACTAAGTGTCTCCTTCTGGCTTCTGATAGACAAATCTGCTGTGGGGAAGCATGGCTAGAGTACACACACACACCCCTGTTTGATCTGCTTTTGACAGGTTTTTATTTGCCTGTGGCCTCTGCAGTGGAGTTGCCAGGCTGGTGTGGGGACTGTGGGGCTCCAGCCCAGCCACTGCCAGGCTGGAGGGTGTTTGTGAAATGACATCACCTCCTCTGCCAACACCTTCCTGGTGCCTTCTGAAAGGAAAGCACCTTGACTCAGGGTTAAGAAAGGGAGTCTCATTTCCCAGAACTCAGTTTCTGCTCCATGAGGTCACCCCAGTCCCAGGACAGGAGGTGTAGGTGGTGGCTCCGAGCATGTCCCATGTCCCCAGGGAGCTGCTCCACTTGCTCTTGGCCCGTGTTCCTCTGCCAGGCCTTCCCTGGGTCTTGCTGTGACTTGTCCCAGCAGAGACCAGCTCCAGCCCTCCCTTCCACTGATTCCAGCAGGACTGGAGGAGTTTGGGCCATTTGAAGCTTCCCTGTCCTCAGGTGCTGCTCATGGCAAGTTGCAGGGAGGGAGGGAGGTCCCTTGGGCCACCCGTTCCCAGATGTGTTTTGGGAGCTCCCTTGCCCCCCTGGAGGCCCAGGCCATGCTGGAGCCCGGTCCCTGTGCATGGAGCCCATCTGGGCTGTGCCAGGCTGTGCTCTGGGCATGGACACGGCAGCACTGGCTGCTCTCCTGCAGTGCACCCTCCCCAGCCTCAGATGGCTCTCCAGGGGCTGCTCCTGTCCCTGCAGGAGCTGGGACACACGGACAAGGGTGCCAGCTGGGGCTGGTACTGCCCCAGTGCCACAGGAATGCTGCTTTGGCACCTGAGCTGGGCTGTGCAGAGGCTCCTTGCCCAGCAGCCCAGGGTACAGAGGGGCTCAGGGCTGGGATCTGCAGCAGCAGCCTGGGAAGCTGCACCTCCCTCCCAGGGTACCCACACAGCCAGACCATCAGGGCACTCCCCTGCTGCTGGGCTTGGGAAAGGACCCACCAGCCACAGCAATGAAAACAAACCCAGAGGTGACATTTTCACCTTTGCCAGGGTGCACTGCAGCATGGGGAAGAGTTCTGGCTGGGACCTGAGGGGTCTCCAGCCCAGGCCAGACACCTCATGCTCACACTGGGCAGGGAATGGGTGTCAGGGTCCCCTCAAGCTGTATCAGAGGGGGATCCAGCAGGATTTCTCCATGGGGGTGCTCCCAGAAAGAATTCTGTGTGGCCACAGGCTGGTGTGCCAGCAGTGCACACTGCTGAGTGCCAGGGCAAAGGCCACAACAAGGTTTGTTCCAGAACTTGGTGGCCCTGGGCACAGCAGGTGACCCCTTTGCACCCCACACGAGTCCTGGGAAGGGACATGGGGTGGTCCTGGCTGCCAGACCACCCCCCACCCCAGCACCCCACCAGGGCAGCACAGCCCGTGCCACTGTTCAATGGTGTGTCACCCCTGTGTCCCCACACACCCAGGGAAGCTGCCTTACCTTGGAGGAGCAGAGCTGGGACGCGCTGACCACTGGTTTGTCCCCAAGGCAGCAGCAAAACTGGCAAAGCCCCTTGCAGGTGGGGATGTGGCCCTCAGGGAGATGTCCCCCTGTCTCACACAGCACCCCAGTGCCCCAGCAGGGCTGGGCAGCAGCAAAGGGCTCTGTGCTGCGCAGCGAGGCTGAGGGATGTGGTCATCTGTTTGATCTTCCTTGGGGCTGATGAGCCCCTTCCTGAGTTTATTAATTAGCTGTGGGAGTGTCCAAAGGCACCATCGGTCCCCAGGGCCACTCTGTGAGTGTCCCCTCCTGACTCAGAGGCTTTGCTGCCTGTCCTGCTCCTCTCCTGTCCCTCACCTGCTGCAGCTCCAGTTCCCCAGCACTGCAGCAGCCACTGACCCCACACAGCTCCCACCCCACAGCCCCCTCCCAGCCCCACCAGTGACCCTGGGCTGCTGCTAACCCCTGTCTGGGACAGCAGGGGACAGAACACCCCTGGCCTGTGCACTCAGGGTGACTTGGGGCATGTGGCACAACCACAGCAAGAGGGGGATGAGCTCACACTGCTGTGAGCCAGCGGTGACAGCAGCAGGCAGCTGCCACCCTCCAGGTGAGAGGAGCAGGCGCTGCCACCCCCAGGTGACATTTGTGTCCTTGGCTCAGGGGAGCCAGAGAGAGGCTCCAAGGGGAATAACCTGAGCACCTGGGGCAGGTGACAGCAAGCCCTGGGAGCATCCCAACATGAAACAGGAGCTGAAGAGCACCTGTGAGGCAGGTCCAGTGCCACCTCAGGGTGTGCAGGAATCAGACCCTCCTGAGCAGGAGGGATCATCCAGGGCAGCTCCTGGCCCTGCACAGACACCCCAACAGTGCCACCCTGGGCATCCCCGTGACACTGGCACTCCACACACTGGTTTGCACTCCCACAGGGAATACTGAATTCCTCCTGTTCTCTGGGGGTCTGGGGGCAGTGCTGCAGCCCGAGGTGGGGCTCAGTGAGACCCCCCTTCAGAACCAGCACCAGCCCTGCATGCTCCTGCCTCCCCACACCCCCAATTCCGTGTTTAGGAAATGGAGTGAAACACAAAGAAAATTCATATTCCTGTTCAAAAATACACACACCAGTGATCTCAACATGACCTCACAAAACCCTGTCAGAGCACTGAAGGTGTGAAGTGCTCAGGGAGGTGAGGGGACAGATGGAAATCCACGAGCCAGCTGCTGGGCAGGCCAGGGCAGGAGTCTGAGCTCTACCAGGAGATCTACAGCAACCACCCACCCTCCAGGCAGTAGTTTGAGGTACAACAGCTTTCTAGGCAAAAAGAATTTATAAATAAACCAAATCCTTCAACGCATTTTTATTCTAAAATAAAATAACTGTCATGCCCAGCCGCGCTCACAGGACAGGACAAGGCAGGGGCTGAGGGGGCACGAACAGGGATGAGCAGCTTGTGGAGGAACGTGATGCTCTGCAGCACGGCCGCGAGCGGGGCACGGCCCTGTCCTGGCTGTCACCGGCCCCTCCTCACCGGGGCAGCGCCGGGAGCGGCCCCGGGCAGCCCCCCCGGGCCGGGGCTCAGTTCACGCGGCAGGCCCGGATCATGAGCAGCTGCAGCAGGATGAACACGGGCGACATGATGAGCCCGTACCAGAGCTCCCGCGTGTGCTCCACCAGCTTCTGGCACAGCAGCATCTCGAACACGAACTTGAGGCTGAGGATAGTGAGGATCCAGAAGAGCCGCAGCACCGCCAGGCGCTTCTCGCCGTCCTGGAACAGCCGCACGGACACGATGGTGGTGAAGTAGGTGCTGAGCCCGTCGGCGGCGAAGAACGGCACGAACACGATCCACCAGGAGAGCGCGGCGGCCGCGCCGTCCACCTTGAGCACGAGCAGCACGGAGAAAGCGAGCAGGGCCAGCCCGTGCAGGAAGATCTCGAAGGTGGCGAAGCCGAGCCACTGCACGAGCTCGCGCAGGGAGAACAGCATCGTCCGCGCTGCGGTAACGGCACCGGCACCGGTCCCCAAACCGGCAACGACACCGACACCGGCCCCTGACCCGGCACCGGCCCGGCCCGGCCTCGGCACCGGCACAAGTCCTCAAGCCGGAGCCGACACCGGCCCTTAACCCAGCACCGGCCCGGCCCCGGCCGCGGCCCCGGCCCCCGCACCAGCCCTGGCCCAGCCAGGGACCAGGTCCAGCCCGGCCCCGACACCGACACCGGCCCCCGCCGCAACCCCTGAACCTGAACCTGAACCGGCACCGGCACCGGCACCGGCACCAGGCCCGGCCCGGCCCGGCCCGGCGGCGCGGGGAGATGGCGTCACGGTGAGAGGCGACAAGTGGGTGACGTCATCATGCGGGGAGACGGTGAGCGGGGAGTCCCGGCCGCTCAGCCTCGATGATGACGTCCGCGGGAGCTGTCGCGAAGTGGTGACGTCAGAGGCGGGATGGGGCCCATCCATGGTGAGTCCTGCGGAGCGGCCGGGCCGGGCCCCGGGGCTGGGGCTGCTCGGCTGGAGAGGAGAAACCCCGGGAACCCCTGCCAGGGCCTGGAGAGGGACTGGGGACAAGGGATGGAGGGACAGGACACAGGGAATGGCTGCCACTGCCAGAGGGCAGGGATGGATGGGATGTTGGGAATTAGGAATTGTTCCCTGGCAGGGTGGGCAGGCCCTGGCACAGGGTGCCCAGAGCAGCTGGGGCTGCCCCTGGATCCCTGGCAGTGCCCAAGGCCAGGCTGGACAGGGCTGGGAGCAGCCTGGGACAGTGGGAGGTGTCCCTGCCATGGCAGGGGTGGCACTGGATGGGCTTTAAGGTCTCTTTTAACTCAAACCAGTCTGGGATTCTGCGATTCTATTTTTTATTATTATGATTTAATTTATTCTTATTCTGTGGCACATGGTTATGGCGGCTGTTTGCAGATCAGACAGGTGCCAGGGCTAGATTCCCTCTGGGCTGGGCCCCTGTTCTGCCAGAGTCTGGCTGAGAGCTCCGTGTGGTTGCAGCTTTGTCTGTCACTGAGCCTCCAGGCTCTGCCCCAGCCCCTTCAGGTGAGGGAGGATTCCCAGGGCACACGGGAAAGTTACACCAGGATTGGGGAACAGCCCATCCCAGGGCTGTGCTCACCCTGTGCTGGTGAGGGCAGTTCAGTGGGGCAGGATCTGGGTTTTAGTCACTCCCCTGGCCTGGCAGTGGAGACAAGGAGCACAGTAGTGTCCCTGCTTATTCTATGGGCTGGGACATGGGATCCCTCCCTCAGTGCTGCACAGGGGTGGGAAGAGAGCCTGGCAGCCTTGACTCCCTCTGCTGAATGCCAGCTGCTCACCATCCCTGTGCTGGCTGGCTGCTGTGCCAGCCCCTGGGGGTCAGTGCTGCTCAGCCCAGCCCTGCCTCCCCTCCTGTCCTTTCCCTCCAGTGACTTCCCTGCTGTTGTCTCCTGCAGATGGCAGAACAGGGACTCCTGGTGCTCTTTGGCAGCCAGACTGGCACAGCTCAGGACACAGCAGAGAGGGTGGGCAGAGAGGCCCAGCGGAGGCACCTGCGCTGCCGGGTGCAGGCCCTGGACAGCTGTGACCTGGTGAGTGTGTGGGACATGGACAGCTGTGACCTGGTGAGTGTGTGGGACATGAGGCTGCTGGGGCACTGCTGCTGTGCCCTGGGCAGCTGTGACCTGGTGAGTGTGGGATACAGGGCTGCTGTGACCTGGTGAGGGTGTGGGACATGGGGCTGCTGGAAGCAGCTGAGTTGGAAGCAACCCATCAGGATCATGGAGTCAGCTCCTGGCCCTGCCCAGAACACCCCAACAATCCCACCCTGTCCCTGAGAGCGTTGTCCAAACACTGTTGGACTCAGACAGGCTTGGTGCTGGTTGCTCCAAGCCCTGTGCAGCCTGGCCTTGGACACTTCCCAGGATCCAGGGGCATCCACAATTTCTCTGGGCAACCTGTGCCAGAACCTCATCACCCTCACAGGGAAGAATTTCTTCCTAATATCTGACCTAAACCTGCCCTCCTTCAGCTTATGGGCATTCCCCCTTGTCCTGTCCCTCCATGCCTTGTCCCCAGTCCCTCTCCAGCTCTTCTGGAGCCCCTTTAGGCACTGGCAGGGGCTCTGAGGTCTCCCTGGAGCCTTCTCTTCCCCAGGCTGAACACCCTGAGCTGTCCCATCCTGGCTCCAGAGCAGTTTGGAGGCTGCTGACCTGACTGTGCCATGTTTGTACCCTCAGGCCAATCTCATCCATGAGCCCTTGGTGGTGTTTGTGTGTGCAACCACAGGCCAGGGAGACCCACCTGACAACATGAAGGTAGGACATGCTCCTGTCCTGTTGCTGTATGTTCCTGCTGCAGGGCTCTCTGCTGAAGCAGCTTGAGCAGGGCTTGTTCTTGCTGGGGGAGCTTTGCAGCAGCACCAGGCACATGCCAGGGAACAGGAGCAGGGGCACATGTGCAGAAAGCCATGCTCCCCCCTCTGCTGGGATGGGTGAGCAGGGATGCAGGCCCAGGCAGGCAGGAGGGTGCCTGGCAGCAGCAGGACTGGCTGGATGTGCCTGTTGTAGATGTTCTGGCGGTTCCTGTTCCGGAAGAGCCTCCCTGCCAGCTCCCTGTGCCAGCTGGACTACGCCGTGCTGGGCCTCGGGGACTCCTCCTACCCCAAGTAAGCAGCCTCTGGGCAGCTGTTCCTCATAGCTCTGACTGCAGTGGAGAGCAGAGTGGCTGGAGAGCCAAGGGGGTAAGGGGAGACAGAGTCTGATTCTGGAGCAGCAGCTCAAGCAAAATGTAACTCCCACCAGCCTTAAAAATCCTTCCCCTGCTGTGTCCCTCCTCACCCCCAGGAATTAGGCTTCTGCCCTTTTCTTTCCTCCCAAGCTCACCAAGGATGCTTTAGTGGGTCAGACATCATGTGTCAGTCTTTTATCACAGCTATGGGCCAAGGCAACAGGAGACATCAAACAGAGGTGGCAGCCAGCCATGCTGGTCCCAGATCTCTCCCAGAAGGTTGTTCCTGTGTGCCTCAAAGAGCTCTAGTGGGAGGCATGGGTGTGCCTGAGCTCTGTGGGGCAGTGGGGGGCTGGAGGGAAGGAAATGTTCTATGGCCCAGGGCACAAGCAGCCCTGAAGGGAACCTGGAACTCCCCTTGTCCCGTTTCAGGGCTGGGCACAGCCTGTGAGGGCCAGCAAGTGGCACCTAGCTGGTTCTGTGAACTGGCACAGGCTGGGCGGGACATGGGCCAGGTCACAGTGCTGGCTCTGCCTGTGTGCTGCTCTGGTGGCCCTGGCAGTGTGTGCTGGTGCTGTGGCAATGCCTGCTGTGCTGCTGGAGCAGCCCTGCCCTGTGTTGTTCTCTGCTCAGGTTTAATTTCATTGCAAAGAAGCTGCACAAACGGCTGCTCCAGCTCGGGGGCAACCCGCTGCTGCCCGTGGCCTTGGGAGATGACCAGCATGACCTGGGGTAAGAGCCCAGAGGAGGGGTGGTGGGGGGGCCCCGGGGTGCCCTGCAGCTCTGTCCTGGGGCTGATGGCAGGGCTGTGTGCTGCTCCCACCATGGGGCTGCTCCTGCAGCTCTCTGGGAACGTGCTGATCCCTGCTCATAACCCTCCTGTGCCAGGACCTGGGCTACCTGCTTCTCCAGGGTGTCCCATGACCCCAGAATGTGGCCATGACCCCTGGCTCAGCCCCAGCCCTGTTCAGAGCAGGGCATGGCTGTGCCACACAGCCCTGTACCTGCAGGCATTGCAGCAGCCTCAGCTGTGCTCACCTGGCATGGGGCAAAGGCTGTGGATGGTTCAGGGACACAGTGACCCAGCACTGCTCAGGGGCTGGGGATCCTGTTCAGGGGTCAGTGGTTGGGCCCTGGAGAGCGATTGAGTGCGTAGAGTGGCTGAGATGTGTTTGTTCCCAGACCTGAAGCTGGAAGGGAATGGCCTGGGGTGGCTGTGGGCATGGTTGTTGTGCATGTGCAGGGGTAGCAGGGCTTGGTCCTGAAGGGATGATGTTGCTGCAGCCTCAATTTCCCACTTGCAGACCAGATGCAGTGATTGATCCCTGGCTTGTGGCCTTGTGGGAGAAGATCCTTGCCTTGTATCCTCTCCCTCCTGGCCTTGAGATCATCAGTCCCGACGTGCGGTGAGTGCAGAGGGTGAGCAGGGACTGCTGGGGCTGCCTGGGGTGAAAGGCTCTGCTTCCTTGGCTGTTCTCCAGAGTGGAGATGGAACAGGAACACTTGGAGCAGGAACACTCCCCACACAGCTTGTGGTGTCCCCAGTGTCCCTTGTTCTTTGGCCACAGGTGGCCTCTCTCTCTGGATGGGTGTCCCCTTTTCTGCTGGGGGCTGTGACAGCTGCCCCAGCTGGGTTCTGCCCATCTGTCTGTCCTGATGTGCCTCTGGCCCTGGCAGAGTGTGTGTGCCAGCCAGCCTTCCCCTGAATGCTCTGGAGCCTTGGGATCTCCTCCTGGTGGTCTCCATTGCATTCCCTTACACAGCCCAGCTCCAGGGGATAGGGATAATGGCTGGTGGATACAGTGGGACACTCCAGGCCTCTCCCTGCCTCTCATCTTGCAGCAGCAGAGGAGCTGTGGCATGGAGGTAACCCTGCTGCATTGCATTGCTGTTGTTCCCACAGCCTGCCCCCCAAATACACCCTGCACTACCTGCCTGAGGACTCCCCAGACCCCGAGGGTGCCCTGCTGCAGCCAGCAGCCCCCCGGGGGGCTCCCTGTGAGCTGCAGCCCTTCCCTGCCCGAGTGGTGTCCAACCAGAGGCTCACAGCACAGGCCCATTTCCAGGATGTCCGGCTCATCGAGTTTGACATCGCGGGCTCAGGGATCACGTGAGCATTTTCCTGACTCCCCCAAGCTCTGTTGTGTGGGACCAGGCGTCCTGGAGCCTGCCCTCCTCTTCTGCTGCTCTTCCTCACTGATATCTGAGGCTGCAGTCATGTGGTCATGGTCCCTGCTGTGAGTCCCCATCCATGGAATGGGGATCCTGCCCATGGGCCAGCTCCCTTTGCCTGTTGCTGGCAGTGGGAATTTGCCTCCCCTGGTGTGGGTGCTGGTCGGGGTGGCCATGCTGTGGCTCTGCCCCGTGGCTGTGCTTGGCAGCTCCCCCTGCATCCCCAGGTTCAGTGCGGGGGACGTGGTGATGATCCAGCCCCAGAACTGCCCTGAAGATGTGCAGCAGTTCTGCCAGCTGCTGCGCCTGGAGCCACACAGACGCTTTGTGCTGGAGCCCACAGAGCCTGGTAGGTCCTGCCTGCTGCTCTTTCCCCTTCCTGCTGAGACA